AAAAAAAAAAAAAGAGTCAACCTCCTGGGGAAGGTTGAGGGGCCAGCTGTGTGGTCACCTATGGCCTCATTCGGACACCCGAATTCTTCTGGGACCCTCCACTGGGGTTGGGGCAGTCCCAACTTTGGACCACTCTCTACTCCCACATCCAACCTCACAACCTCAGTTGTTTCACTAGATGTTGCATCAGGGAGGGTGATGAAATCGGTGACAATGGATTTTACCCAGGGATGCAATAGACTGAAGGAATAGCAGAGTCAAAGACACTACATACCTTTGACTACCTAGAACTCCGGGGCCTTCCAGCCACAGGATAGGGCTTGAGTGCTCGAATATCTAAGCTGAATTTCCAGCCCTTGCTTATGCTGGAATCCAGGAAAAACATTACCTGGATCCCACAGAGCCCATGAGAACTTAGGCTGCTAGGGCTGAAGAATCAAGTGTTCTTAACCAGTAACACTCTTCCCGGGTGGCCCCTGAGGCTCAAGGCGCCAGCCACATACACCTAAGGTGGCGGGTTCGAATCCAGCCTGGGCCCACCAAACAACAATGATGGCTGTAACCAAAAAATAGCCAGGTGTTGTGGCGGGTGCCTGTGGTCCCAGCTATTGGGAGGCTGAGGCAGTAGACTTGCTTGAGCCAGGAGTTGGAGGTTGCTGTGAGCTGTGATGTCACAGCACTCTACCCAGGGGGACAGCTTGAGGTTCTGTCTCAAAAAAAAAAAAAGGAGTAGGGCGCCGGCCCCATGTGCGGAAGGTGACGAGTTCAAACCCAGCCCCAGCCAAAAATTGCAAAAAAACCCATTCTTCCCACAGAGCCCTTCTAACCTTCCGGAAGCAATAAGACCTCAGGCTGCGTTCATATGGCTTCCTAGTTCACAAAGTGCCTGCTCTCCTATGAAACCAGAACCATCTAGTGAAAATAAGGCTGTTTCCAGTGAAGAAAAAGAAGTCCTTTATTCCTAGATGGGGGGCATCAGGTAGGAATCAAACTTCATTTCAAATTGAACTGAGCATGCTATTGGGAGATGAATAATACTTTTGGTTTTTCCTCAGGCGGGACATGAGGAAATAAGGTTTGGGGTGGGGTAGTGGTATAGCTTTGAGAGGCAAAAAGATCAGAGAAAGATTGAACAGGAAGGAACTTGAGACCAGATTAATTTAAATAGTCATTACTCCCCTCAACCCCCTCTTCCACAGCCATTTCGATTCCTGGAGAGCATCACACATGTGTCCCATCCCAGGCCTCCAGCCACAGCAACCACACGACTCATTTCCCGTGGAACTGAGGCTGCATACCTGGGCTCCCCACAGGGGGATGATGCAGGGAGGGGAATCCCACCTGCTGTGAGTCACCTGCTGGTATAAAGGGCGGACCTTAAAAAGAGACTCAGAGACAAAGGGAGAAAAACAGGAAGCAGTTCAGAAACTCTATGAACAAGGGGAACCAAACCAGAGATACTCAGAAACAGAGAATCAGGCTCAGAGCAAGTTGAAGTGGGCAGAGATTCTATAAGGCTGCAAGGCAGAGAGCCATCCAGACTTGAGAAGCAGGCAACAAGATGTTGGGAAGCAGAGCTGTGATGCTGCTATTGCTGCTGCCCTGGACTCTTCAGGGCCGGGCTATGCCTGGGGGCAGCAACCCTGCCTGGGCCCGAGGCCAGCAGCTCTCACAGAAGCTCTGCACTCTGGCCTGGAGTGCACATCCACCTGTGGGACACATGGTGAGTGGCAGCCTATGGGACCAAATAGAAGCCTGTCCAAGGCTGCAGCAGAGGACTCTGTGACCTTGGGTAGAAGCTGGAGGGTTGAAGGCCATCCGGGAGAGAGATAGGATAGGAGAGTGGGGCTTCTGGGAAGGCCAGGGGCCTGAGGGTCCTGGTAGGGTTCAAAAGTACTTATTTTACTTCACTCTTCCTACTCCCCCCTCCATTTCAGGATCTACTAAGAGAAGAAGGAAATGAAGAGACTACAAATGATGTTCCCCATATCCAGTGTGAAGATGGTTGTGATCCCCAAGGACTCAAGGACAATAGTCAGGTACCACTAGGATGAGGCTAGGCCACAAAAGAGAGGGGACTGGGAACATGGCTAGATAGCATGGTGAACCAGAAGTGTCTGAGAATAATAAGGAACTGGGTGGGTCTTCAATGAATGGAGTAGGAAGAGGGATCTACTTCTTTCATGCTTTCTTCTCTCTCTAGTTCTGTTTGCAAAGGATTCACCAAGGTCTGCTTTTTTATGAGAAGTTGCTAGGATCAGATATTTTCACAGGGGAGCCTCCTCTGCTCCCTGACGGCCCTGTGGGCCAGCTTCATGCCTCTCTACTGGGCCTCAGCCAACTCCTGCAGGTATGAACTGGGGACCTGGAAAATGGGAACATGCAAGTGTCAGAGACAAAGGCTAGGAGGTTAAGGGGCTAGAGTCTCCTCTGATTGTGTCCTGTGTTCTTTCAGCCTGAAGGTCACCACTGGGAGCCTCAGCATACTGCAAGCCCCATTCCTAGCCAACCATGGCAGCGTCTCCTTCTCCGCTTCAAGATCCTTCGCAGCCTCCAGGCCTTTGTGGCTGTAGCTGCCCGAGTCTTTGCCCATGGAGCAGCAACCCTGAGTCCCTGAAGTCAGCAGCTTAAGGATGGCACTCAGATCTCCATGGCTCAGCAATGTCAAGATAAAACCTACCACCCCAGACCCCTGTGAGCCAAACAGTTAATTAGTCCATTAACTCTAATAGGACTTGCATATTTGAAAAATTACCAATACTGACTGACTTATGATGCTGACAAGGTTGAATATTTATTAGATGGGAAGGGAAATTTGGGGATTATTTATCCCCATTGGAGCAGTTTGGGGAGGAGGATTATTTATTATATTTATACTGAATGGTGTACTTTTTCAATAAAGATTTATTTATGTGGCTATGAGAGTCTAATTTCCAGGCTTAGCTGGGAAAGAGAAATAGATGGAAAAGCAGGGCCAAGGGGCAACCATATGCATCCTTTTCCTCTACTCGGAAAGGCTACAGTAGAAAGTGGTGTTTTCTTTTCTTTTTTCTTTTTTTTTTTTTTTT